TTTTTTTGTTTTTTTTTTTTTTTTTTTTTTTCTTTTCTGTAGAAAAGAATTCTGAAGTACATTGGTGGGAGCAAACACTACTAACAGTTATCAAAGTATGAAAAGTACTCTCTGCCACGGTACACAAAAACTAAGTATGGTGTGGTCTGGGAGATATTTGAATGAGAAATATTTTCTTTCTCCTCTCATTAAATTTTATCCATAGTACTTCTTGATTCACTGGAGAAATTGCTGATGGTGAGGTCAGAAACAGAGCTGAATGAAGAATGAAAGATCTGTTTTGTGGAGAATTTTGAGATTCAGCATTTTTCCAAATTGTGTCAAATATCCAAAACTAGTTTGTCCAAATTCCTTCTCTCCCAAATGTTTTAGGTTGATCACAACAGTTAAGTTCTGAGCAATTTTCATATTTATATTAATTATAGTATAGTTACAGGGCTCTTTTCAAATACATTTCTAGTAAATTGATCAATCTGCCTCTAAGGAGCTAAACCACCTCCAATGAGGGTCTCTGATTTGCAGCCCCACCATTGTCTGGCCATGTTGCTGTGATGGGTGCGAGTGTCATTTTCAAGCCTTTCTCCTTTAGAGACTTGTAACCAAGCTTAACACAGATACGGAAACAATTTTTTTTCGATTTCAGAAAGGGTTATTTATTCACTCTCTGGAGATACAAACCAATCAGATGTGAGAGTTCAATAATAAAGGACTAAATCCACTCTTCAGTCCTACATCTTTGTCTTTCCTTGTGAATATTGTGTAGGTTCCACTGAGCTCTGGCTTCCTTATACCTAAAATACAGTTTGCAGCATTCTGTACCTCTCTTTGCCACAGTTTTCTAACTGGAGTGCAAAACACTGCAGCTTTTTTGGGTCCTACACTTGGACGGGAGGTGAATGTACCTGGTCAGTGTTGTTGGAGTCAGGTTTTCATAGAGTTATTTCACAAATGAAACATTCTTCACTATTTCTTGCTAGTACTTGATGTTTTCTGATGATTTATCAAGATAATATGGAATTTTAATCCTATCCTCCAGAGTTCTTTAAATCACTTGCAGCCTGATACTAAGTTCACTTTCATGAATGTGCTCTCTATTTCTTCATCCAGATCATTAATGGAAATATTGTCAGACCTCTCCATGATTCCATTTCAGATCTGACAAGCAGCCCTTGAAAGCTACTCAGTAAGTGTGTTTTTTCCCACCAGATGTTTATCTACCTTGCAGTGATTTCACCTAGAATGTAATTCTCTAATTTGTTTACTGGAGTATCATCTAGGACAGTAAACAAAGTCTTATTATAGCTGAAGTATTTTATATCTACTTCCTCCTCTTATCCACTAGGCAAGTTTCCCAGTTGAGAAAGCAATTAGACTGATTTGATGCGATTCATTCTTGATAAATTCATGTCGGCTGGTTCTTATCACCTTTCCCATCCATTAGATGCTGATAAATTGTTTATTTAACAATTTTGTCAAATATTCTTGCTGCTGTCAGATTTAGGCTTGCTGTTTAGTAGTTCCCCACATCTTCCCTTTTTCTTTTCCGAAGACAGATACGGTATTTGCCCTTTTCTGTCCTCTCCATTCCTGAAAGACAGTTGTTAATGGATTAGAGGTTTCTTCAGCTGGTTAGTTAAGTGCTCTAGAGTGAATTTCACAAGATTCTGCCAACTAGAATGTATCTAAGTCATCAGAATATCTTTCAGCTTTCTGTCATCTGGCTTGCCGTTTTTCCTCTTAAAATCACTAGCGTTAAGCATCTGGCCACAATTAATGTTTTTGTAAAGACTGAAGCAGTGAAAGTATTGAACACTGGGATTTCTTTGTATCATCTGTTATTTGCTTTCCTTCTCTTCGATGTAATAGTTCTGTATTATACTTTGTCCTCCTTTCCTAGCGTATTTATAGTATCTTTTCTTGTGGCTTTTTTTGTTCTTTGATAGTTGTTACTCATTTCGCACTTTAGCCTTTTTGGTTGTATCATTTAAACACTTGCATCAGATTAATCCTAAGCTGTATGTCCTTGTTTCCAGTTTTTGTACTCCTGATTTTCAGATCATTTCAGGAAAGAAATCTGTTCTGTGCTGTGATTTCTTACGTGTTAGTATGATAAAAAAATTCAAAATGAAAAATGTGAAAAGTTTGGAAAAAAAAGAAAAGGTAAAATTTTGAAAATAAATATGGTTTTATTGTTCTCCCAAAGATAGAATACAGATTGCACATAGAAAATATCTTGGAGGATTTCAACGAATAGACACGTCTAGAACTTTAAAAGTATAAGACACGTGAAACTTATTCTGTGCTGTACCCAAACAAGCATCCCATGTGGTGAATTTTACAAAAGCCATGACAAGGTCCCATAGCTACCTTCTCGTGTTAATGCTTGTTTTGGGCAGGCTAGTCAGTGCTTTTGATTCTACAAGCACGTCCATGAAGTCTGTGAGTCTAATGCTACATTTGATACTAATCTTTTTTCAAAGCAGTATGTGACAGACACCGGGCTCAACAAATAGTTGAGTATGCAAATGATCACAGCATACTATCAATGGCTTTTTACAGCACCCTCTCATTTCATTCTTCAGTATTTTAACAGGGAAGAGTGCCACGTAAAACCAGATGTTTGAAGTTAAATGAATTTTCCATCAAGTCCTGGAGTGCATTTCCATTTTTAAAGATAAGCTTTGGATCTTGTAGTGAGTTTCCAGGACTTCATTGCCTGCTATGCAGCTGACACAGCCTGTGAATTAAACTCTAGTTTCTATTGCTTCATTCACTATGCAGTCTAGATATCTGCTTTGAGACAAACGTGTGCACTTCACACAAAATTAAAACTGCCTGAAAGCGTTGGAAGGTGAGGCTCAGGCACTTGGATGTATGGTCTCTCCTATGTTTAGTCCTCCTAGTGATTAAAACTGAACTTCCTTATATTTGGAGCCCTCCTCCCAAGCGCCATCAAGACAATATGTGAGTAATTCTGTGCTGCAGTAGATCTGAGAAACCAAAAGTGACTTCACACTCAATGTTAAAAGTATCTTACGAGTTTTGAGGACTGGAGAAGGGTATTGCCATAATTATGGTCTAAGTGCATTGGAGCTTGGTGATTGAAGTATAACATTTTCCAGAGGCCTACTCATGTGGGAAACCTGGGTTTCGTTTGCTTCTCCAGTCAGCTGTGTGTCATTGAAGTGGATTTTAAACTATCAAGTCAACTATTTAGGGAAGATTTTGGTTTATGAAGCCACATACAGGAATATACTTGTGCATGTTTCATTTTCTTCGATTGCAAGGTCTCTGATCTTTATTGCCATCATCCTTCTCCCTCAGCTGATCATAAATAAGAAAAGTTCTATGCTGTTTCAGATGTACGCTTTTGTATTTAACCTTCTGGCCTGTTTGTCTTTTAAAGAGAGTTAAAATCTCCTGTATAGCTAAGGAATATAAGCTATTCATTACTCATGAATATACCTGTCTTCACCCCCCATCTTCTGAGGATGGAAAAACAGATAACAAGAGATGGAAAACAGTGAATTATAAGTGTTTTGAGTGGGAAAAATGAGGACTAAATCAGCAAGAGCTTGCTGCAAAGTAGGTATGAGGTCTGCCTGCTTTGTGAACAACTTTACGTCTTTTATATGAACAGTTAAGGATTAGAGTGCATATTGAAAATGTGTGTGTACTGGATGTTTCAATTTACACATGGTAACGTCATTTGATGACACTTAATGTGTCCTACTGTGAGATAG